GGAGGGAGGGAGGGAGGGAGGGAGGGAGGGAGGGAGGGAAGGAAGGAAGGAAGGAAGGAAGGAAGGAAGGAAGGAAGGAAGGAAGGAAGGAAGGAAGGAAGGAAGCCTCTTCCTGTATTTAGTTACACTCTACTTTTTTGCTTCCCACTTGTACAAACTTGGCCTCTCATTCAACCCTCTCACTCATATTTTCCTTGTCCCTTGCCATTAGCTCCTTACTGAGTTGCAAATCAGCTAAAGTCATACAGCACTAAAAATCCTTTTCTTCACCTTGGCTCCGAGCTCTCCACAGTACTGCCCTGGCCCTCAAACCTTACTGTAAACTTTCTGATACAAGAAAGCCACGCTGGCAGATTAGAGTTCCTCACACACAGCCTCTCAACCTCACAATCGGCTTCTCATGGATGTTCACCTACCAAACCCATACCTTTCAAGCCCACGGAGTTTACACAACCACCATCAGCTGAAGACGGGCTACTCACATGTCCCACCCCAACATTTCCTTCTGTGACACAGACACATTCATCTTTAGCATGTCCCCCAACTGTTCTAACATGCAACAGGTGTCAGAACCGCAGGACAACATCACCTTGACAATACTTTTAACATTCGCTTCCACGGTGAATGTTTTTTTCTTGGGTCCTCCATGGCCCAAATGCTTTTTCTCAATTTCACCCTGGTTCTGGTTTTTATATGCTTTTGCCTATAACCTGTCAGAGGGAATGAATTTTTATCACTAATGATTAACTATTACCAAATCTAGAACTCTCTCTTCTGAGCTTGAAATCTACTATTTCCAGATGTCAGAGAAGTAATAGAAAAGCCAAATTCAACCTATCATAAATTAAATATCCAACAGGTCAAATCTCAGCGTCAACCCTTAGCTTACCCCTCTAACAGGCATCAAAGACAAGCAATTTCACTTCCCAGAAGTTCTTCCAAGCCCATCCCTTCTCCAAACGTCAACACTCGCTAGTCTAGTCTCCCCATCTCTCACTGATCTCCCAATGGTCTACTTCTCTAGTTCTGGAGGAGCTCTCTGCATTCCTATCTCGGCTCTTTAAACCCTAGCCTTCAGCAGTCACTTAACCTTTCCAAGCCAATATACTCAACTAGCCATGAAAGTGTCTTTCTGTACAGGGTCACTGAGGAAGTCAGTAACATCATACACATAAAGCCCTGTCCACAATACCTGGGAAAATAATGATAATGACTGGCTATATATGTAATTGGGAGAATACAAATTCAAGAGTACAGTTGTACATCTTCACAATCTATGTTCTACAACCTCTATGTTATCACCACCCTCCAAAATCTAATTCACCGTATGATTTCAACCCATAACAATAATTATGTGAACTTGATCACATTTTATATAGAAAAAATAAGTGAATTTCATCGCAATTTATATAGAACATGTAGCATATATTATATAATATTCCTACTTCCTCATCTACATATAAAGCGACACACATATTTACTTAAATGTATCTACATATATATTACAAAATATTTACTCTATACAAAATACTTGAGTGTATCTACATATTACAAAATATTTTAGTATATACTTTCATATAAATATAGTGTATTTTATATAATAGATGTATATCTATGCATCTGTAATAGATGTATACCATATAACATTTATAAAAATATGTACATGTGTTTATATACAGATATTATAGTTTATACATAGTAACAACATTAGTATCCATTGCCGCTAATATTTAATGAACACTGAAACTTTTTTAATGAAACATTTAAAGACTTTAAATGTTATCACTCTTTTAAACTACACAGTAACTCCAGAAAGTAATTGCTATTTCCATTTTTCAGATGACGAAATTAAGGCTTGTGCTGGCTGATCAAAAACACTTTCTGACCTTGGTTATGTTGTTTAAAAGACCTAATTTGGAGCTGGGCACAGTGGCGTACATCTGTAATCCCAGTACTCTGGGAGGGAGAGGCAAGCAGATCTCTGTGAATTTGAGGCCAACCTGGTTTACAAAGTTGTCTGTCCTGGACAGACAAGGCTACACAGAGAAACTCTGTCTTGATTTAAAAAACAAAATAAACAAACAAACAAAAAAACAACTCATTGCTTTCTACAGGTAAAAGTAACTTCTTGTTCATCTGGGCTCCCATGAGATTTTACAGCCATATTTCAATATTTTAATACATTCTGAGAAATGACCCTCAAGCACTTTTATTGCTGTGCATGTAATTACACAGACAGGACAACAACTGTACGTGACCTCCATCATACATGTAGTCTCTCATGAATCAAATCATCATTATATGGTGCATTCTACATGTATATATACATAGTACATTTCTGTGAGATAATTGTCTTCACAACCAAACTGGACACAACTGCCTTATACATCTTTGTAACTAGGACAGTGCCTGGCAAGGCATGGGCTCTGCAAATATTTTGAAATTACATTGGATTAGAAGTTGAAGTCAAAAAACAAAATGAGATTTTTTTAAACTGTAGTATTCACAAGGAGTCATTAGAAGAGCAACTTTTAAAGTCTAAAAACAGTAAAAATGCTCATCAAGTCTGTAACTTTTATTAAAAATTACATACCCAATTTTACAGATCCTCCAAAAAGGGAACCTTTATCAAAAGCATCCTTCCACGTAAATGTCAAGCAGATCTAAAATGAATGACAGGAAACAAACATTTTCATTACCTCTTCGAACCTTGTTAGATACTGCAGAAAAATCCAGTAAGGAGGACAGAGATCAACCTATGTAGCTGTCACCTCTAGCCAATGACCCCTTTTCTTCTTACGAACCTTTTTTTCCATGTAAAATACTAACACTGAGATATTTCAAAACGTCATTTTGTGTGGTCTTTATAAACAAAGAGGAGGAAGGAAATAAAGCACCGCAAGGTTTCCTGGTGGGTCAAACTGAAAAGCACTGTAACAAAAGTAGAAAAAAAAATGGACAGGTGAGACAGCTCAGCGGATAAAGGGCTTGTCCCACAATCCTCACAAGCAAAGTTCAGTCCTTGGAACTCATACAAAACTGGAAGGAAAAGAGCCAACTCCTTGAGTTGTCCTCTGATTTCCACACACAGACATGACATACGCACACATACTATACACAAATACATGCTACTAATAAAAATAGTATTATCTTTTTTTTAAGGTTCCACTGTGCAGCCTTGGACTATGTTAGTCTTGAACTCACAGAAAGCTGTCAGTCTCTGTCTCCTCAGAGCTTAGAAGAAAGGTATGTGACACTACAAACAAACAAACAAAAAAGGTGCTGCCAGGCATGGTGGCTGCATGCCTTTAATCCCAGCAGAGGCAGTCGATTTCCAGGACAGCCAGAGACCCTGTCTCAACTCTTTAAAAAAAAAAAAAAAAAAAAGCTAAGGAAGAAAAAAAACAGGTTATGTTCGTCTAGAAACAGATCCCATTGATATAAAACAGATTAATGTTCTGTCAACACTTCAGACAGACCTCAAAACTTCCAATTTATATAAAACTGCCACAGAAGCCTAAACATAGTGAAGACACAACAATGACTTCAATGGAACAAAACCACAGGTGGAGGAAATGGGTGAGTGGCAATCACAACTTTATAGCAAAATTAACAACTTACCTGATTTTCAGAAAATGGGAACTTGGGTTCAATGGAACAAATCTGGTCATAATACCTAAAACAAACAAAGAAAGGCTAATTATTAGCAGAGTAAAATGACATGAATTTATAGAAACCAAACTGATATATATATATATATATATATAAATCAGTATATATATATATGGGCTGGAGAGATGGCTCAGCAGCTAAGAGCACTGGACCTGAGTTCCATCCAGAACACACACTGGCTCACAATCATCTAGGCTATCTTTTAGACTCTGACATTGTCTTATGGTCTCGTGGGTACCAGGTATGCACATGGTCCACATACATGAAGGCAAAACACCCATACACATGAATTAAAATAACATTTTTAAAGAATACACCAAAACTATTCGTGATGGTTTGAATGAGAATGGCCTCCATGGGCTCAAGAGATTTGAATGCTTGAGAGGGATTAGAAGTATAACCTTGCTGGAGGAGGTGTGGCCTGCTGGAGAAGTGTGTCGCTGGGGTGGGCTTTGGGGTTTCAAAAGCTCAAGCCAGCCCCCCACCCCGATGTCTGTCTTCCTGCTCCCTGTGGATCTGCATGTAGAACTGTCAGCTCCCCCTCCAGCTCCACATCCGCCTGCCTGGTGCCATATTTCCCGCCATGCTGATAATGGACTAAACCTCTGAAACTATAAGCCAGCCCCAAGTAAACACTTTCTTTTATAAAAACTGCCTCAGTCATGATGTCTCTTCACAGCAACAGAATAGTGACTAAGACTCTATTTGTCCCCAATTACAGTGGCCCACAGATCCAATTTAACCATTTGTTTTAAGGTTACAAACATAATCCCTTAACAACTAAACCACACAGTGAATTCCACACAATGAAGAGCTATACTAAAAATGAAAAAGGATACTCACCACCATAGACCTCATATTATTCAGCAAAAATAAACAAACACCTACTTGAAACTTTGTATTTCTTAAAATACTTTTTTTAAATGACTATGTTTGGTCTTGTGTGACAGCTCACACCTTTCATCCCATCACTAGGGAGGCAATGGTAAGAAGTTCTCCGTAAGGCCAGACTTTCTACATAGCAAGTTCCAGAACAGCCATGGTAACATACTAAGAGCCTGTCTCAAATTTTTAAAAAAAGGGAAACATCTGTGTCCACTTCTGAGGGAAGGTTTCAAAAGGACAAGCAAGAAAGGCAGAAAGCAACATGTGTGACTGGCACGACAGTAAGTTTGGCTACAAATTCAAAGAAACAAGACGTTACTTAAACACAGAAGCTAATGGGAGCCAGTCATCTCACTGTCAGAGGAAAGAATCCTAAATACTACAAGGGCCAGGGATGGAACAAACTGTAATTTGGGACTGACTGGAAGTATCACTGTGAACCCATTTTTTTAACATTGTAGAGATAAACAAGAACAACTATAAATGTGTATTATACATTTCCTAAATATATATGCTGAGGGCCTTGAAGCAATGTCACCTCAAAAAAACAAGAAACAAACCTAGTGTCCAGCTAAATAATGTCCTGTACTTACAGAAGCCACAGTATTCCTCAGAGAAATGGATTAAATGGGAAAACAAAAGACTAAAGCCAACAAGTGATGAGGACATGAAAAACAGAGAACAAAACAAAACAAACCACAAGGAACTAGTTTTAAGTAACTCCTAATAGTTAAGTAGAGAACACTAAACCAAGGAGTTGGGGAGACAAGACGGCTCAGTCAGTGATGAAGAGTTGTGACTCATCCTTCAGATCTCAGTTCAAATCTCATTTTAGAAATGGCAACACTCTGATGTGCGTGTCTCCATATTTATTTTTCCTTGTCATTTCCATAACTAATAAATAAAGATGCTATATGCCTTATTTTTTTCTATTACAAATATGAGGAGAGCTCGATCCCCTACTTGTAATCCCGAAGCTCTCTGTCCAGCCTAGCCTACTCTACAAGCTTTAGGCCAATAAGAGACCTCATCTCAAAACACAAAGTGGCGGTCATGAGAGATGGTTCAACAGTTAAGAGCACTGATGCTCTTCCAAAGGAACTGGGCTTGATTCAGCACCCACATGGTGGCTCACAGACATCTTCAACTCCAGTTTCACAGTATCCAGTGCACTCTCCTGATTTCTATACACACAAGGCATATAGGCAGGCAATACAACTACGTGTATAAAATTAAAAATAAGTAAATAAATTTTAAGGAAAAATACATAAGGTGAATGGCACCAAAAGGATGACACCCAATGTTGACTTTTGACCTCCACATGAATGTACACATGCACCCACATACTGATACATACATACAAAAAAAAAAAAAAAATCACACTGACAAATCACAATCCACTGAAGAAAATAACAGTATTGTGAAACAAACAAACAGGTGACCAGAAACAGTGCTACACACTACGTAATGACAACCAATAAATCCTTTCCCACAGTATTTATCTGGTTCTGGTACTATTCATCAATGGATACTAAAATAATGAAAGCTTTGGCATAATTTCTTGTGCACGGTGTAAAGGTTGTCTTCGTCTCACTTAAATGCTGATTTCTATACCAGCAGAGAGCTGAGTACTGTCCAGAATGTGGTAGTTATTTTTATGAAGCAGCACCCATCTCAATGTTTTGTAAACGTCTTCTCCATCACCTTCTGAATATTTTAATAAAGAGCTGTGTAGCCTATAGCAAAGCAGGAGAGGCTAGGTAGGACTTTCAGGCAGAAATAGGAACTCTGGGAAGAATCAGGCATGAAGAATTTGCCAGCCAGATTCAGAGGAAGAAACAGGTGCTGGTACTGAGGAGACATAAGGAGCCAAGTGGGAGAACACAGATTAGTGCAAACGTGTTAAGTCATACAAGCTAGTTGGAAACAAGCCTAAGCTAAGGCCAAGCATTCATATTAATAAAAAGTCTCTGTGTCATGGCGTGGGCGGCTGGTGGGTAGAGACAGTCCGACAATATGTACAAAGCTGTCGTTAGATAAACTAGCGGCAGTGCGGCACAACTGCAATCTCAGCACTGGGAAGGCAGAGGCCTGAGGAACACAGTTTGCGGCCAGCTTCAACAGAAGAAAGCAATACTAATAAAAGTTTGATACAGTATCTTTACAAATGTCTATTAAGAAGTACAACATACCCATTAACCGTAAGGCCAAGGAACCTGGCAAGCAGTGTCTTAACTAAGTAATAAAAATCCAAGCTATCACAAGGGAAGGGAAGGAGAGGGGAGGGGAGGGGCCCTCTCAAGGAATATTCTGCAAATAACTAGTCTGTGCTCTTCAAAAACACCAATGTCATACATAGGTGGGACGTAGTTCTCTAGCCTAGAGTGGCCGAGCCCCTGCATTTGACTCCTAGTAACCATAAAAGGGAAGGAAAGCCAAGGTTCAAAAGACAAGAGAACTGTTCCGAATGAAAGACGTGAGAGAAGCATTAGTAACTGAAGTAATGCACTGGCGGAAGCCAGAGTCTGGACCTGTAAACCTCACTTTTGGAGTACCAGCAAAACTTGGTTGGACAGAGTAAATTAATTCCACCAGCTTCCTGACTATGAAAGACATACTGGGTTATATAAGAAAGGACATTTATCCTAGGAACAAAATTTTAAGTATTAAAATCTTTTTATGGAGCCAGGCACAGTGGCACATGCCTGTAATCCCAGCACTCAGAGAGCCAGAAGCAGGAGGATCTCTGTGAGTTCAAGGCCAGCCAGAGCTACACAGAGAAACCCTGTCTCAAAAAAATCAAACACAAAAACACCTTTTGCTAGTTACTATTGTGGTAGTGACCGTGGTCTCTCATGTCCCCCATGGTCTCAGGCATTTGAACACTTGGTCCCCAACTGATGGTGCTGACTGGGAGGTTTAGGTGGTGTCACCTGGTTGGAGGCAATTTCAAAGTCTCTCACCATTTCCTATGCGCTCTCTCGCCTGTGGTTTGAGATGTGAGCCCTCACCCTGCTATGCACTGCAGCTGCCTTGCCTGATGCTTCCCTGTGGTGGTGATCAACTCAGCCCTCTAGAGCAGCAGTTCTCAGCCTTCCTAACACTGCGGCCCTGGAACAGTTCTACATGTTGTGGTGACCTCTAATCATAAAATTATTTTTGTTGCTACTTTATAACTATAATTTTGCTGCTGTCACATTGTAATATAAATATTTTTGAAGATAGAGGGTTGCCAAAGGGGTCACAACCCACAAGTTGAGAAGCTCTAGAACTATAGGTTCAAACAAACCCTTCCTTCCAGTTTGCTTATGTCATGCTGTTTTATCATAGCAATGAAAACGTAACTCCCATTCTACTAAAAATTACTTTCAAAAATTTTAATGATGTTGTGCCTTATCTACCCACCACTCAACTTTCAGGCCCAATATCAGGATATTCACTACACATTCAAGTCAATAAATTACCTTCTCTCTGTTTCAGGGCCTTCACTCCCTTCACTAGACCGTAAGGAGGCTACAGCAAGGTCTGGGGCAACAGAGCCTGAAGATGTCCCTGTCACAGTGAGGCCAAGCTGCATACAGACCAAGAATTGGCAAACTTTTTCAGAAAAGAATACTGTAGACTCTTGTGAAAGAGAAAAGCAGAGACTTGTAAGTACTTATATAACAAGAAAGAAACTTCTGGCACACCCCCAGGTGAGGCTGGTGAGCCTATAAACACAACAGCTGTTCAACTCCCATCAGCTGGAGACAATCTCTGGAAAGCTCCAGACTGCAGGAGAGGAGACAGGGAGGAAGAAGTGGCCAACATGGCTGGCATTTGCTGTGGTCTGGATATGAAGTGTCACCCCAAGGCTGACGTGTCAACTGGTGGCACTATGAAGAGATGCCCGGATTAGGAAATGCTTGTCAATGAGTTAGTCATCTGCTGCACTCTGCAGCCCAATCTGGGCTACTAGGAAGTAGTGTCTAGCTGAGGAGGACAGTCACTGGAGGCGGCCTTGGAAAGGCGCACCTCTCTGGCTGCCAAACTTCCCTGCTGCATGAGGTAGCAGCCTCCGTCATCACACTCACTAGCTGCCTCACCCCAGGCACAAAGCAACTGACCCAGCACCCACAGATTGGAAACCTCTGAAATAAGGAGCAAAAACAAACCTTTCTCCCTCTGTCTTTCTCAGGTATTCTGTCACAGCAGTAACACCCAAATCCCAGTGCACTCTCCTCTCCTCTGAGAGAACAAAATAATTCACTGTGAACTTCCAGACTGGGGTCCACTGAGGAGCCAAGCACGGCTGAGCAGTGTAGCCAAAGCGTGGGTGGCAGCACAGTAAGTCTAGGTGCTGTGCTGTGAACACAGGCCAACAGGAAAAGCACTGGAAGCGAAGGGCAGAATGACACACAGAACACCATTAGCCACCAAGGCTCACGGTGCTAACCTGCCCAAGTGGTGGCAGGCCATATAAAAACAGGCAGCCAATACTCCTAACCCTGACCCCTCCTGGAATGTAAGCAAGGAAAAAACAGTTAGGAAGTTACTTGTTTGAAACATATAAAAGAATAACTGCACAGAATATACTGAAACCTGTATACCAAGCCTGTTCCTCCACCACCTGGAGTCAACTAGGAAAACCTGAGTTGCATGGGGAGAAGAGGCCAAACATATTCTACCTTTACATGATCACAAACCATGGGATGGCTGCCTCAGAACCTGTTCTGGTGGTAACAGGGAAGGGTAGTCAATGGAAAAAAAAAATGTCTGACTAGTATGGAGCGAACTCCAACAAAACAAGATCAGCTACAGCTTTACAAGAGGGAGCCTACAAGGCTAACTACCACAGGCAAAATGCTGCTCCTGAAGAGCCAAATACAAGACTTATGTACTTCCACAGAGGGCACGGACACCACTACCTACCCTCTGGTTCTGTCTCAGACACCAAAGTTCTCCAGGAAGAAAATATTACCAAAACGGCAGAGAATAACACACCTCTCTCTCTATCATTCAGAGACTTGGAGGTATCAGGACACTAGCCTAAGATACATAGCCATACCTAACAACGTAGAGACCTAAGCGACTTTAACACAGCCTAAGAGAAAGCCAAAATACTACGGTGGAAAGATGGCCACAAAACACATCCAGCATGGGAAACAACGCAGTAAAAACAAAGAATCCCTGAAGACTTTAGTTTAGAAATAAACATCTCAGGCTAGAGAGGAGGCTCAGAGGTTAAGAGCATGGGCTGCACTTCCAGAAGTTCTGAGTTCAATTCCCAGCAGTCACATGGTGGCTCACAGCCATCTATAACGAGATCTGGTGCCTCTTCTAGCGTGCAGATATACATGCAAGCAGAATACTGTATTGTATACATAATAAATAAATCTTTAAAAAACAAAAAGAAGAAAAGAAAGAAATATCTCTTCAGGGGGTCGCTAGCCAGAAAGCTCAGTACAAAAAAATGCTTGCCACCAAGCCTGACCACAGAGCCAACTCCTATATACTGTCCTCTGACCTCCATATGCCTGTCAAGGCATGCAAGCCAAGACACGCACAGAGAGAGAGAAAAAAAAAAACATTCTTAAGAAATAGTGCACTGGTAATCATTTCTTTAAAAGTCAGCACATTTAAAGATGTCACAATGGACAGAACTCAGATTTTGCAAGTAGACAACTCAAGGATGCATTCAATGTCTTAGGCATCTGATCACTTGCAAAGTACTGGAACTCTCAGTCTGAAGACGTGGCTGGCTCAGTGTCACACTCCTGTAATCCCAGCACTCAGGGAGGTGGTAGCAAGAGGATCTCTGGGAGTTTCAAGGCCAGCATGGTCTACAAAGCAAGTCCAGGACAGCCAGGGCTACATAGAGAAACCCTGTCTCAAAAACAAAACAAAATCCCTCTTAAGGCAAAGGCAACACTTCCTTAAAGCAGTACATCTCAACCTTCCTAATGCTTCAACCCTTTAATACAGTCCCTCAAGTTGCAGCGACAACCCCCAACCATAAAATCATTTCGTTGCTACTTCACAACTGTAATTTTGCTAGTCATGAATCATAATGTAAATATCTGATATGCAGGATACGATATGCAACCCCAAAGGGGTCATGACCCACAGAATGAGAACAATATATTGCCTTAGAGGAACAAACGACACAGTGAGACGTGGTTAGATCCACAGTCCACGCATGATCACTGCAGCAAACAAGCATATGCGGCGACACCTGAGTGCTTTTTAGATGCTCCCTACTGTTCTACAAAACTCGGGCCCTTTAAAGCAAATCCACTTTAAAACTCCATGGCAGAACTGTTTAAGATCTGCCTCCACAGACTGTCAACAGATAAAGTTTACTCTGTGCTGTGAGCCATGATGACTACGGTAAGAGCTGTTAGTGGCCATCTCTCAACACATAAAGCTCGCCTCCGTAGGAAATATCAGTGGCGAGATGATCTTGACTGATGACAAAACTAAGGGACGTCTCTAGCCATCTCTGTTCCCAGAACACCTTAGCGTAAGCTCCTCAAATCAGGATTTCTGCACTTGCATCCTAACACACCGGTGTCACCTGCAAGAAACAAGATTGTACTACAGGAAACGGAATCATAAGGGTCCACAGAAATGCTGTCATCATTAAGGACCAGAGTTCTCATCAGCTGCAGAAAGAACCAATGTCTTCCACGTGTGCATAGCCCGTCAAAAGATTTAAGCAACCACTGAGTAGTCTGCCGCTCAAGTTTTCTTTCAAACGACTGTAGCTCCTAACTTTTTTACAACTGTCAATCCGTCTCTGATTATTTGAACTTAAGACGGCTTATTTCAAGTGAATGAGTAGCCAACATTTGGTCCAGTGTCCCAATTCTCTCACTCCCCTTATGCAACCATTATTAGGAAATCTAGACGTGGCCCAAAAAAAGTCATAGACAGCGACTGTAAAAAGCAGACTTCCGCTGTACGACCCAAAAAGTGAAAACCAAAAGGCTGTGACCAGAGAGACCATTCCTCGGCAGACTTCCTGCCAGGTAAGGTGGCGCGCTGACAGATGCCACCCGGAAGGGAGGGCAGGGCTACGAGTCCTCTCACCAGGAAAGAATGCTGACCACACCTACGCCGCTGGCCTGAGTCAGAGTGGGGAGGCCAGGCGCGGGGGAGAGGGAGAGGAAGCGAGGCCGTGGAGGGAGGAAGCAGAGCTGGGAAGCAGGGACTCCGGCGGGAGGGGGGGATGGCAATCGGGGGCGCGGAGAGGGAGCCCGCGCGGCCGGCGCCCACCTCAGCAGCGTCTCCAGCGAGCCCTCGTGCTTGTCCAGCGGGCGGCCGAGCGCCGAGCGCCGCAGCTTGCTGAGCTCCTCGGCCGCCCGGCAGTACTGGGCCTGCTCCTCGCCGCCGCTCGGGTACGTCTGCTGGATGAACTTCACCAGCGGCTTGGCCAGGTCCACCTCCGAGGTCTTCTTCAGCTGCACCCAGATGAACGACGCCATGGTGAGGGCCCGGCCGCCGCTTCGGGCCGCAGAGGCGGAGGGACAGCGACGACGGCCTAGGCGCGCTCGGCACCGGCAGCGGACGAGCGGACCGACGGGCCGACGGACTGGGCCGCCAGAGCTTCGAGCCGGCCACTTCCGGGAGCCCCCGCGCAGGCGCAGTCGGAGGGGCGCGCCGCTCGGTCACATGACGGTGTCACCACCGCGTTGCTCACCTGGTCTGCGGCGCCTGCGCGGTGCGATCAGGCGCTCTCCTACTGCAGTGGTTAAACTTTCAGAAAGATTTTTGGAGGGGTGGGGCGTCTTTTTGTTTTATTTTGTTTTGTTTTGTTCCAGACAGGGTTTCTCTGTGTAACAGCCCGGCTGTCCTGAAACTCACTTTGTAGACCAGGCTGGCCTCGAACTCACAGAGATGCACCTGCCTCTGCCTCCAGGAGTCCTAGGATTAAAGGCGTGTGCCACCACCACTACCCAAAAGATTTTTAAATTTCTCTTTAAATTCTGCTTTTTTTTTTTTTTTAATATTTTTGGATGTGAGCCCAGTCTTTAACAGCTGAGCCATCTCTCCAGCCCTTTAAATACTTTTAATTCATTTAATTTTGCTTTTTTTATTACTTAAAATTAATTTCATAGATCAATAACTCTTCGGCCTCACAGACAGCCAGGTAAGGACAGACAGTAGTAAATAAAACACAGAACTCTTAGAACAGACCATAAGCAAGATAAAAGGACACTCGCAGTTTGAGAAGATGCCTTGACTTTAAAGGAGGGAACAGCGAAGAGGGCTTGAATGGTGAGGGAGAGCATCGCAGACCAAAAGCACGTGTGCAAAAGGGCAAGCAGCGAGCAGAAGGAAATGAAGTTGAAGAGTAAAGCCACAAATCATTACGGAATGCATAATCAACGTATAGAGGTTGTTTTGTATGATGGGGGTACTTAAGTGATTTATTTTTACATTTTGAAAAGGCCTCCATCGATAACTGGAGAAATAACTCAGCAGTTAGAGCGCTTCCTTCTCTGTCTGAGAAAGGGCCAGCATTCTCTACCAGCAACTCCAAGGCGCTGCATCGCCCCCTTCTGGCCTCCTCTGGGACCAGCACTTACACACATTGATACACTATTTGAAGGCCTCTCAGGACTATTCGCATATTTTTAATGTCTTATTTTTTATTTCATTTAGGGGTATGTGGAAGTCAGAGGACAACTTCTGAAGTTCTCTGTATCGTGTGGGTCTCAGGGATGGAACTCAGGTGGTCATAAGTGGCAGCAAACACCTTTACCTGCTGAGCCATCTCACCCGTGTTGATGGAGCAGATATAAATGACCAAGATCATCAATGAAACATTCCAAGCAAAACTAACTTGAATGTAGCAAGCCTTCACATCAAACACACAATGTCTTTTTATTTATTATCTTTTATGTGTATGAGTGTTCTGCCTGCATGCATGTCTGTGTACCATGTTTGTGCCTGGTGCCTCCTGAGGTCAGAAGAGAGCACCAGATCCCCCCGGAACTGGTTGCAGAAATGATGAGCGCCATGTTGGTGCTGGGAATTAAACCTGGGTTCTCTGGAAGAGCAGCTGGTGCCCTTAGCAGCTGAGTCACCTCTCCAGCCCCCAAACACACAATTTATAAGAAATACAGCGGGAGAGATAACAAAGTCGGTGATGTTCTTGACAGGATACCCTTTCCTACCCTATTCTAAACAGGGTAGGATCCAGTTATAAAACATCCTTCAGGACAGTGGAAGCACAAATGAAGACATGGAATATTTGATAAGATGAAACTGTCGGTCATTAAGAAAATGGCAAGTCACAAAATGGTATCTGTGTTATAGCATCTTGATTTTAAAAAATTAAATGTGTGTATTTGTGGGCTATGAAAATGACTTATACCCTGAGGTGGTGCTGACTGTAATCTTTAGAAGTAAAAACACACATTTTTTTTCTGTTTTTTTATCTTTATGTAATTTTTTGCATTATACAGTGTATTTGTTCATTAACAAAAACAGTTTCTTTTTCTAACGTTTATGAGTTTAAATTTTTTACTTTTTTTAATAGGGTGTGTGTGTGTGAAAAGACAACTTGTAGGAATCCTTTTCTTTCATCATGTGGACTCTGGAGTTCCAGCTCAGGTCCTCAGTCTTGGTTGCAAGCCCTTTAACCACAGATCCATCTCAATGCATTATGAAAATGTCTTTATTCTAATTCTGGTTAAAGCAAATAAAATAGCCACCGTGCCTGATGTGCAGCAAATCATGAAAATGATGTCCTGAGGCAAAGTGGGAAACAAGTTCAGAAATTCAGGCAAAGAAAAAAAAGTTATCAAACCTAATGTAAGTAAGAGTGATCAAAAATGAAACATTACCGGGTAGGAAGATACTATGGAAAGGGGAGTGACCCAGGATGGCACCGTGGTCTGGGTGCCTGTGGATCTGAGTGTTTGGTGACTTCACGTATTGATAGAAAGAAAAGCAAGCGACAAGTCACTGATGAGGGAGGGAGAGTGGGCTGTGCTTCCCCACACACGTGGGAGTCGTTGTGCTGATGGTGCACAAGCGTGTGGGTTCTGCAAATTTGTTTCACAAAGGAGTCAGCATTCAGCACGCAAGTGACCTACGCATCTGTGGAACTATAAAGGGTCACATAAAATAGGTCAAAACTTAGCAGGAGGTGAGGATTCTATCTAGGGACTTAGTTGTTGTTGTTTTAATTTAAAATCCCTTGTATGCTTGAGTGCAGGTGTGCACATGCCGTAGTGTGTGTGGAGGTCAGAAGAGAACTTTTCAGGAGTTGGTTCTCTCTTCCACCTTGTTTTTGAGGCAGGGTCTCTCTTGTTTCTGCTGTGCTGACTGAGTACTCCAGACTAGCTGGCCCACAAACTGTCAATTCTCCCGTCTTCAGCTCCCATCTCACTAAAAGACTTGTGGGACTGTAGATGTGCACCTTTGCGTTCAGCCTTACTTGTTGTTTTGTTTTGTTGTTGTTTTGGTTTTGTTTTGTTTTGTTTTGTTTTGTTTGAGACAGGGTTTCTTCTATGTATCCCTGGCTGTCCTTGAACTCAATATCTGGACCTTATTAGCCTTAAACTCACAGAGATCCACCTGCCTATCCCTACAAGGAATGCACCGAAACACCTGGCTTGCAGCCAGAACATGTGTGCATGTTCTGAGGCTCAAACCCATGCCATCAGGCTTCCGCAGCAAGCACATTTACCAGCTGAGCCATCTTGCTAGCACATAAACTTTTGTTGTTTTTATTGTTTTGGTTTGGGGGTTTTGGTTTTTTTCAAGATGGAAAAAAACCTTTGTAGCCATGGCTGTCCTGGAACTCACTCTGTAGACCAGGATGTCCTGGAACTCAGGAACATCCACCTGCCTCTGCCTCCTGAGTGCTGGGATTGAAGGTGTGTGCCACCAACACCTGGCCACCTTAGGAATCTTTAGACTGAGAATTCTGGTAATTTGCAGTTGATCATGCTACACGATTATTTTTTAAGATGAAAAATGCTCGAATATCTTTTGTGTTGGTCGACAAAACTGATTCATTAGGGGAGAAGAAGATTCTAAATAAAGTGAACAGAGAGACACCTTGGCATCCTAAAAGAGCATCCTGCCCTTGCAGAGGACCAGAGTTTGGTTTCCAGCACCACAACCATCTGCAACTCTAACTCCAGGGGGTCTGACACTCTCTTCTGGCCTCCAAAAGGCACTGCACTGAAATGCACAAACCCACAGAGACACACACACATTAACACAGAATTTAAAATAATATAGCTCCCAAGTACTGGGACTAAAAGCTTGCACCACCACTGACCGACAAAAAATAAGAGTATTGATTCCACATAAATGTACATCACCAAAGGAGCCAAATACGGGAAAGGAGGAGAGCAAAGCAAAGTGTGTATAAGAGGAGAAATGAGCCCTAAGAAAGACACAGCAGAGGGAGGAGAAAAGGAAATTGACATAGGTGTGGAACTAATAATGTAGACTAAGTTGGCAGCGCTGCCCTGACTTGCATGAAGCCCTGGGTTTGGTCCCAGCACCGAATAAGCGGGGTGTGATCGCACACACATGTAATGCACCTTTCAAGTGCTGGGATTGCACCATCCTGCCCAACCTTGATGAAGACATTTCTATCTGACTCTCCCTCCTCCCCAGGACATAAACTTCATGGAAGAAAAGTGTGTGTTCATTTTGTATAGGATTACAAACATCCCTTGACTTACTATCGAACTATGTCTTGGTCCCACGAAAACTGACTCATCGTAGATCAAACTGTATTAGATATCTCTAACCAATAGACAGCATCACTTAGCAACATGGTACAGCAGGAGGCATGGTTTGTTTGCCTTCAGGATTGTGTGACAGACCAACTCACCACCCAGTAGCATAAGAGAATATCCAATAGCATATCACTAAACCAGGAAAAAGATCAAACTTGCTGTGTAGCCAAGGATGACCTTGAACATCTGATTCTCCTAAGAAGTGGGGTTACAGGAATGTACCACTGTGAAGAGCCAGACTGACCCAAGACTTTGTCAGAGTCCCTGATGAAAAGACAAAGGGAACTTTAGCTCTGTGTCCTTGTCCAGGAGTGGACTTGGCAAAGCTGGTCAAGGGCTGGAGCCAGTGCCTCCTCCAAAGAGTCAAGGTTACAGCTCCTGGGGAACCGACTCTTCCCCCTGGGCTGTGGCTATCAGGCTTTGGGCAGCCATGTGTGAGGTCTCCTGTGTTCACATTATCTGACTTAGGTCTTTGCTGACCTTGGCCATTTCCCCCTGTAAATAGTATACAGGATGCTGTGCTTCTTTTTACATTTCTTTTGTGCATGTGTGCATATGCTCACATGCTGGGTGCCCCGCATGCATAGTCAGGGCAGCCCACAGGAGTGACCTCTCACCCTCTATCTTCAATTCTCCAGGAATCAAACTGGGATCATTGGGCTTGGTGGCAGGTGCCTTATTCCACTGGGCTATATCACCAGCCCAGTTTCCAGCTACTATCAGCTGCTTCGGGGAAAACATGTTATCTGCCATCCACCCTTCCATTTTCTGAAGAAGGAAGGCGGCTGTGTGGAGGGAATCAGTACCAGTCACAGCTACTAGGGACTGGGCACACTGGTTTGTTAACAGGGATATAGATGGGACACAAACTGTT